CCACAGACCCCATGGCAGATGTCCAGGCTGGAGAGAGCGAAAGCCTAGAGAGAGAGGAGAGGAATCCTAACTGTGTACAACAATTCCACCACAGCTAACGGCTCACTGAGGCCTGCTGGGAGGCAAGTCCATGCCTCACCCGCTGACTTAAGCAGCAGCTACATGCTTAAAGCCCACCAACATCCGAGTCTTCTTCATCATGAGTATTTAAGCATGGACCAGACAAAAGCATTCCCTTGGCCTACTCCCTTTGTTGCTGCCCTGGTAAATGTTCCATCGGGCTGCAGATCCAACGCCGCATCTCCATTATTGCTTACCAAGACATCTCCCACTGCTAGCAGTAGGCTCACTAAGACCTGCGGGGAGACAAGTCAACGGCTCACCCGCCAACCCAAACGTTCACCACCGCTAAGGGAAATTCCAGATCTGTCCCTACTCATGCCCAATTTATGTAGGTGTGGTCCTCTACCCCTCTTGGGGCTGTAGCACACAAGCATAACACTTCTTTGGCCTGATGACAAGCCTAGTTGACCTGGTACCCCTTTACCATCTTCATAATGAGGCCCCTCCAGCCCACTTACTAATGTTCTTCCGGCCAAAATGTGACCTGATCGATCTCTCAGTTTTCATCATCTGGTCACAACTTTGCCGGCAGCTGATACAGAACCATCTGGTTTAAGACCTCCCTCTCCTAAAGATGGATCCTTAGGTGATGTGACTTTCTACTGATCTGTCCCAATTTGCATTCAGTACTTCCTTTCCTGACCTTCTAGTGTCTCAGAGATAGGGGTGTCTCAGTTACTGGAAAGTCTCTTCAACATTCTCAAACTCAAGCGACGTTCAGTGCGATTCATCACTCTTGTATAACTGTTGGGATAAAGCTGTCCTGTTTGATCAGACAATTGTCCCCAAGGGCATTGGATTCTGGGATCTACCTGAAGGCAACCTATGTCCTGACTGCCAACATTACAATTCTTTTGCAGATATGCCCTCTCCAAGAAAGATTCACCCGACAGAGGAGACTCTGCATCACAATGTGGCCGAGTTAATCTTCACTGGTAATTGACAGTTCATATATTGAACTTTTGCCCACAACAGAGAATGTTCGGCTGTTGGTGTTCTACACCTGGTTCCCTCACCTACAAGCCTAGGCAACAGACATCCTCCCTTCATTTGGGAAGGGTTACTTGCCTATGTGCCTACCCTTCCTCCCAAAAATTTTGTCTGAGCTGTTCAGGTGCATTGCTATGGTCTTCTCCTCACTCTGTTCTGGCTTCACCAGCCCTGGTGCCTCAATCAACCAGACTGCTAGTATTAGTCTATCTCAACAGATTATAACTTTCTATGTTATGGGGGGTTGGTCATGGTGTGGCTGCAAATGAAACATCTATAACCACAACAGCCAACTTTCTTTCTTGTTTCTACTTTGCTCAGAACAACAGTTAGCATTCATACGCAACTACCATTCTGTTGTCAGAGCTACCTACTGTAGTTGTCTCTAATGGCTCCCTTCGGACAACACTGCCCCCGGGTACTCTCCGCTTGGCATATTCATTGAGCATTATCCTTCGAGACAGCCTATTCCCTATTGGGACCTGTCTTGCGTCCTCAAGCTCTTCAAAGGTCCTCCCTCTGAGCCTTTCACCGAGGCCTCATCATCACACACCTTGGTAAAGCTGACCTTTCTACTTCTAGCAACCACTTCATTCTGGGACAGTGGATTGCCGATGGTATCCATCACAGATGGTCTCATCGGATGATAACACCATGGCAGCTATTTCATCCCAGCCCTAGGCTGACTGGTACTATTTCTCTTCTTGCATCATTGCTCCCGATATACCTCATCAAACAGTAATCAGAGACTAAAGGGCTAGTTGAGATTCTTTGGTCATTAAGTTCACCTGTCCCGAATGGCTGACCTTCCAAGATGACAAATCCGGCCACCCTATCACAGTTCATGACATTAGAACATTATCCACCTTGCAGACATACCTTGGCAGTGTATTTTTGGAAGATATCTGCAGAGCAGCATGCTGGAAAACATTCATCATTCACCTCATGCTACCTCAATTAAGTCTTGCAATGAGTTCTTTTATGGTGAGACAATGTCACCAGGACCAAGAGAACCCACACTGGGTGAGCTATCCCCGCTGCATCTAATGACCTCCTCCTTTCTTAGGTGGGTATTCTTCATTCTACATTCTTCCTCACTTTACGTGTGTCCTTGCCAACCCTCTTCCAGAGTATGTTGTTACTCTGCAAATATAGAAACTGTTTGGGTAGGATGAACGCAATGGACTCCTTCCCCACAGTTGTGTAGGAGAGTCTGTTAATGAATACCTACCCAAACAGTGGATGCCCTCCCATCTTCCCTACTCTGGCTTGGACCTTGTGCTCCGAAAAAGAAGGCTGAACGTGGCGCCAGTGGAGCTATGCATTGAGATAATAGAAGGCGCACTACAGTTGATCAAGTTTTAGCAAGTAAAATGAGGTGCTAAAAAATTGCAAACGTAGTGACTGTTTTGTCAGGTTTTTGTTAGCAGACTCTCCCACACGACTGTAGGGGAGGAGACCAGCCACATGTAGAAATGACTAAATTTTCACAGATACTCATAAATAACTATTGAAAAGGTCCTTTTTACTTTTTTACGATTGGTTTTTTTTTTTGCTTTTCTGCATAGTACGCTGTGTGGTAAAGGCTTTGTTTTTCTATTTTTTTCTCCCTTCTTGTTGGTCTTCCCCCACTTTTTCTTGTCACCTCTTTGGGCATTGAAGTCATTTGACTTTGAAACTTAATACACTTAAGTAATTTATAGCAAGGACGTCTTCCAAAACATGACATCATAATGACGTCATCACCTGATTTATTGTGGAATTTATAATATTTGATATTTTTTAACACATTTTTCAACAGCAAGACTAGGGCTCTTTTTTTGGATTAGACTCAAGACATATTAGGTCTACACTTGGTCCTGAAAGTAGACGTAGTCCAGGAAAAAAATTGTCGTCATGATTTCCTCACGTGTCACGTGACATGGCGTTTAGGTGAAGATTTCAGAGGCCTATATCTCCTAAAGAACAAGTCCCATTGGGTTGAAACTTTGCAAATATTTCGAAAGGTTAATGAATTTGCAGTGAAATTCAACTGTTATTACATACATGTAGACTGGTAGACAAAGATTTTAATGTTGAAGTAATGCCAATTACAAAAAAAGACAAATAAATACCGAAAAACTAAAGAGAATCACCAGATCAATCAGTCAATCAATCAATCAATCAATCAATCAAATCTTGCCCCCAAAAAGGTGTATCTCAAATACGAGCATTCACAAGTATTACCTAATTCAAATTACTGTATAAGGGATACGAATCAATTCCAATCACCGGGTTTTTTTCTTGTTGTTGGAATTACTGACAAAAACAAGTCTTCAATTCTTTTTTTTCACTGTCCAATCACCAAAATAGTTTCCTTCTATATAATTAAATAAATGATAGAATCATACAGTTAACCAAGGTGAGGACTTTCAGTTGTCAGCTTGCAGTCACTACGAGTGGCAGCACTGTTGTCACTGTACTGATGTCTAGCTAGCTTGACTGGTCTTTCTTGCCCACTCCAAGATAATGCCCTCAATCATCTCTGCAATGCAAGACTTGACTTTTCCACCACTACTGCAGAACAGGGCCTTCACCTCCATCTTTGAGCATCAGCACCTCACAAGAACTGGGCAGAAAACTAGGGCCATCTGGCTGTTAAAGAAATATTGGCCAAAAATGCAAAGTAAAAGATATGGTGCCAAATTTATCATCAGGCATCTAGAAATCTCATCAGTGACATCTTAAAATAAATTCTTCAGTCTCCACAAGAAATTTTAACATTTTCCACAAATTTATTGTGATTTAAATTTTCTTTAAACATACATAAAAGATTAACTTACAGGTTCCTTGCCGTTTCAGATTTTAGAACACTGATCCAGCCGCTCTGGACTTCCCTTAACCAAAAAGCCTTGAGCAGTCTGCAAAACCTGCTTCAAGTGAAGTAAAGTGGTGACATCAGGCTTGGAAAAAGCGTGTGGCTCAGATGATCAGGAAAAAAATTCATTACAAACTCTCTCTCTCTCATACCTTCTCGATCATGATCAAATCGAGCTCGGCTCAAGCACACTAGACAACCCCTTTATACTAAGCATCCATCCATTTTCTTGCGAAGTAAACCCTGGGCATTTCACTCTCTACTTCATTCACAACAAATGTGGATGCATCTAAATACAAAGAAATGGGAAGTTTTTGAGTTAGCACTGACATTAATGTACACAAAAAGGGTCACCTGGGTATTTGTGACACAAAGAAGAAAAGGAAACTCTTGCTCCCTACTCTGTATTGTTAGACACAATAGTTAGGTTTAAGTACAGGTCAGCTAAGAAATTCATGGCCCTGGGCAGTAAACTGTAAATAGAAGTCACTGGTTAATGAAAATGCATGAAAAAGTTCATCAGCATGGAGCATCAACACTGACAAAGGGAAATTCTGATAATGTACCAAAGACGAAAACAGACTACATGAAGTCATCAGGTACCAAGTCACATGACTTTAAAGGTCTATTTTTCAAAGCCCTATATTTCCTTGAGTAAATGTCCCATTGGGTTGAAACTTTACAAATAACTAGAAGGGAAGAGATATAGATGAAAATTGCCCTCATGTGACGATGGCATCATCAGGTGTCAAGTACCTGCCCATCGGGTTGAAACCAGACAGTCCTTCGTGTGGGTGTAAGTGTCCAGTAAATGAAGATATGAATTGTTAAAGAATTTTTAACACAGAAAAAAATGAAAATTATCCTACCCCAGCATCGTCAACATTCATAAATGCCCCTGGTGCGATGTGGTTCAAGTTGCAGTACATGGAATGAATGTGAAGATAAACAGGACATTCAGAGGCATTTAAAGAATTGTTCGTAAAAACACTTTCAGGGTCCCTTTCTTGCCTTAAATTCTCATGCATAGGACATGAAGATCTGCACAGAGCGAGCAGCAATGGATTTCTCAGGTGATCAAGGTCGTGTCATTGACAATCCATCAGAAGCCATTGCGATAGCCAGACAAGAAGGATTCAATTGGAGGGTAAGGAAAAATGTTTAGCTTGAGTTTAATAAGCAAAGACAAATGTATTTGGTTAAGAATCTGGCTTGCCATATCCACACAAGTTCCAAAAGTAGTGCAGCAGCCTATACTGAACAAAACCAAAAATCATTGAACATGGCACTTCCGAACCAAATGGATCTGAACCAACCAAGCTGGCCAGTTCAGATGTTTGGCATTCATGATATGGCACATGAGGAAAACTGAAACGAAAATGGATGGCAAGTTAAGTGCTCTCAGATTGCATTGAAGTGTTGCATTACTGTCACTATGTATGAACATTTACATGTAGATGTGCGTGTGTGCATGGATGTGTGTGCACTCACTGTGTGTACATGCTCATGCACATAGGTACTGAAATACAAGTTGCTCATGGATGGAAAAGATTCATCAATTCAGTCTGTAAAATGATCCTGCCCAGAATGCTGCTGAGAATACAGAAATTTGGTTCTTTTTTTTATGATGGTCAGCCCATTCTCACTTTAAAGTATGTAATGTTTTAAAAACCATGTCTCTTAATGGGGGCCACTTTTTGTGTGTAGTCTGTGCAGCTGTTGTAGGAGTCAGAGTAAATGGGGAATACTACAAGCAGCTAAAAAGCACTAAAAAAATTGAAAGAATAGCAAAATAATTGTAAGGTAAAAAAGCCAGTTTGGATTAGTTCGAAAATAAATGTTTTTGTGTGAAAAGAGAGTTTCCTATCATGGTAAATATCATAGGCCCAACTCTTGGCTGTGTATGCTTGGCCAATAGGCTGCCATTTGAGGCTGCTTGGATTGAGAAAGGTCTAATTTTGTCAACAAAAACTCCCATCTTTCCAGTTGTAATGACCTCTGTGTCCTTAATTATTAGTCAAGTAAGAATATGTTTAGTCTTGCATTGACGACTTGCAGTCTGACATGAAAGTTTGGCCATGATGCATGATCGTGTTTGCACTGTACATGCATTGTCATGCATACATATGTGAACACTTTGGTGAGTTGACTGCACTTACATCACAACTTAAAGTTTTTACTGAATCCACTGTGCCACATTGTTGAACTTTTAGTGGCGTAATTAAGGAGGAACCCCCCTTGAAATCTGTGAATAGTCTCAGTTGAAATCCAGCTGTAGCATTTTTCAAAGCAGTAATAAGCCCTTTCATACAATGCTGGAAACACACACTTGCGATGGTTGGCGCCAAGTGTCTGTTGCAAGTGTTGCCAACGATTTCATTGCAAACTTTAATAGCAAATGCAGCTCATTAGAATGCAGCTCATTTTTGAATGGTAGAGTTTAAGGTACTAGCCACTTTCTGTCATATACTTGTATGTGCATTTTTTTTGGCAAGTTTCCACAAACATTTGTGTACAAATTCAGTAAAAAAAAGTTCACCTGTAGGAAGCTGCCTGAGCTATGCACCTCTCTGTCTTGTTTATTTTGTATCTTAATTTCATGACAGCCCTGGGTATTTTTCATTCATGGGACTCACAAGTAGACGCATTAGGAACATGGTTTTCAATTCTGGTTATTAATAGCCTTGTTGCCAGTGCCCAGTGTGGTGCTTGCTATAGAATAGGTGTTTCAGTTATATAAACACAAGATATCAAGCCCGATCCCCAGAAATGCTGCGAAGAAAGTTTTCTTTTTTTTCTTCACGGCTCTAAAAGAAGTTTTTTAAAAGGGAAAGTAAATTCCAATTTAGTTTTTGCATATGTGGTTGCGGAGGATATTCTTTATGGGGAGGTGAGGCCCAAACTCCATAGATCTGGTTCCTGCCCCTCACATATATAAGAACTCTGTACTAATGCATGTGTGAAACCAGATGGCAACAAGACTGTCAAGATTAAGGGTTGATATCTTTTCATGAACTGCCATTTTCAATGATGGGAACAGTAAAGCTATGCCTGCATAATGGACTTCATTGCACTGTACCCTAATAGCACACTTTGCATTCACACAACCAATCCTGGTGACAATGGCACTGATTTTGCATCCATCGATGAACGCACAGAGACACTTGCGATTCGGAGACAGAAATACACTTTCTTCCTCCATGCTTCCGTCAGAAAAAAAATTTTCTTTTGTAAACCTCCCTCATGTTACAAAAATAAACAAAAAATAAAGAGATCAGTGGAAACAAAATTAGTGAACGAGTGAAATGGTGGAATGGCTTGTTGCCTCGCAACTTACACACCACTATTTGTTCATTCCTCATCTAGCAATAAATGCTGAATATCACAGAATTTTAAACTTCACAATGCCTTAATAATTGGACTTCTACTCGATGATTTACTTTCTTAAATTCCCAGTGCTGTGGAAAGTAGCAAACAACCTGCATGATCACTTTGATATAAGGGTTTCTGGATCTATCGGTTTTCCACCTGCCGTGCTTTGCTAATAGGTGAGATGGAATTTTGGCATTTGATGCATTAGATACAACTCCCAATCTAAGGTTGTGGAGGCCATAACTGTGGATATCAGGAGCGAATGGTTTTAGTGCTTCTAGTACTATTTCCCAAGTTCTTGTTACTGAGTCAACAATTTGTCAGTGCCAGCCCAGTTTTGGATCACACGATTCTGCGAAGTACTGGTAGTGCAGAATCTACCGAGTTCTCCCGTGGCTTGGAAGTGTCATTCAGCAATTACCACCGGGCAGGTTGGTTTAAAAGTTCTTCCAATAGTGATAGCACTACCTTGGCGGAACTGGTCAGTTTGACTTGGTTAAATGGATACAATAGTACAGTCCATTCTCTGTACACTAGTAATAACGCTGAAACGTAGAAAACCAGCAAACAAAGCCCCGTATTGGAGTGCCTGTACACTGTGTATAAGTTTGCTATTATCTCGGGTGTTATAGGCTCTTTTCTCAGTGGAGTTGATGCTGTTAACCTCCTGTAGCCTTGTAGTGCCATCTTGACCAACGGGCAGAGATAGTAGCAAGTCATTTTTGGCAAGTCCAAGTCAGGTCTCAAGTCATTATATGCAATCCAAGTCAAGTCACAAGTCATTAGGTCCAAGCAGAAGTCAAGTCAGAAGTCATTTGGTCACAGGGCAAGTCAAGTCAAGTCACAAGTCATTTCTTCTAAACACAAGTCAGGTCACAAATCTCTTTGTCCAAGTACAAGTCAAGCTGCACATTATATTTTCCGGCTGTAATAAGCAAAAAGAACCAGGTGTCAACTTACGAAGTAAAGAGTTATGAGTTTCGGACAGCGGAACACACCTTCTCTCCCATTATTTCTACAATGCCTCCGTAATTCCCTTTTTCACTTGTGTTGTTATTACTACTCTTGCAGTTTATCACATATCTGTCGTATATTGGACCTCTGTTTAATTTACTAAATGTACTTTGCAGGGTAAAAATAAGTGTTGAGATGAAATTAAAAAAGAAAATGTCACTCGCCTGATTACATGTAATATACTTACATTTTATTGTTCAATTTATACTAAAATGCTAACAATCGGTTAAGCTAGATAGTGTGACGCCGCGCCCCTCCGACGAAGGCGAGGGCGCCCTCCTCCTCGAGGCGCGGTGCGTCGGACGGCACGCCGGAGAGTCCCTGAGCGGCTAGGGACGAGTCCGTTGGGACCGAAGTATACCGTCCCCCAAGAAAGTTTGTCTTCGTCGAGATGATGGCTAATCTGATTGGTCGAAACTTAATGACGTAACCCGGACAGCTGCCTGGACTCCTGACTTATATACAACAATTAACAAGCGGCTGGTTTATTCATCAACACACTCAACCAATATAACAGTAGAGGGCGCTATTGACGGGGAAACTGCGCGATTATACGTGACCGGACTTCACCCAGAGCAGT